GAGTAGCTGGGATTACAGGCACGCGCCACCATGCCCAGCTCATTTTTTGTATTTTTAGTAGAGACGGGTTTCAGCATGTTGACCAGGATGGTCTCGATCTCTTGACCTCGTGATCCACCCGCCTCGGCCTCCCAAAGTGCTGGGATTACAGGCTTGAGCCACCGCGCCCGGCCTGTCTATAGTTCTTATGTTATTAAATACTTAAGAAAAACCTATGTATACCACCACAACCTTTTAAAAGGATACTGACAAAGTCATCAAATCCTAGAAGAGTACCAACAATTTCCTTATCACTCTTCATAACAATGTGAATTCTTGATCCAATACATTTGTCCACAAGCTCTGAGAAAGGAAAAAGTATTATTTTACCATTCATTATTTCAACAAATATTTGAGAGCCTACTGGCACTCTTACTTGCATATAGTGAAAGAAGAACCAGGAAAAATATTCATTCAATAACTTTAGGTCTTATAATACAAATCTCAGTTCAAGCACAGCGTCTGGCACATAATGAGCACTTCAAGAGTCTGTGGCATGAAGGAATGAAAACTTTTCAATCATGGCCATGTCCACTAACTCAATCACTCTTCACCAGCTACAAAATGTAAGAGAAGATAGGCATAATTATATTCACTGGAAATTCTTTCCTGTCACTGCTTCCTTCCCCCAACTCTGTCTATCCTCTGCTCTGACACCAGCTTCAACATCTCTTTAGCCAGCCTAGCATTATGTAGCATGATGTCTATTTGTCCAGTATTCCCTCCTGCACTCGCTGTGTGCTATCTGAAGGCAATGGCTATGGTTTAAGTTTATCGCTGAAAAATGCCTAGGCACAGCATCTAGTGTATAGATGCTCAGTAACTATTTGTTGAATGAATGAATAACAAACAGAGGCAGTTTGCAGATTCCTCATTTAAGGCTCATTCCGGACCAGGATGCTAGTGTCATTAACCAATCAGATACATAACGTAGTCTATCTAAACCAGGGATCATAAACGCCAGGTTGAGAAGTGGGCCTACTATCCATAACACTGCAGAGGCGGGTCACAAAAAAGGAGGCCGACGACGCGTTCATTAAATGTGGACCTTTTCCAGTGACGGTCTAGCTTGAGAAGCCAGACCACGTTAAAGAGCGGGGCGGCCTGCTGCCGCGGGGACCTGCAGCGGAGAGTCCAACCGCATTCGGTCCCATACACTTCCCCACTCTCCGCCAGGGCCTGCCTCGGAACAGTCCCTCGTCCCCAATCCTGAGCTTCAGCTCCCTCTGCCTCCTCCCAAAAGGAGGGCGATTACCTAACGGCAGCAGCTGCGACGGGTTGGTAGTAGCGTTAGCCGCCATGGCCACGCCGGAAGTGTCCTGGGTTCATAGGCGGTGGGACGACTTTGAAAAGCGCGCTTCCGCTTTTTCCGCAGACCTAACAGACTCGACCAATCTGAGACCGAGCGTGCGATCTAGCAGGCCGCTTGGGTCGCGTTCGCTGGCTTTTCTTCCTCGGCAAGCGAGATCCGGGGAAATATTTCCTGCCCACTGGACATGTTACCATCTCGGCCGATACCCACTCTACCCTCAAAGTTTCAGAGAGACGTTAAAGGTTTTGCTTTATGAATAAATTTTTCCTTTAACCTTTGAGTCGTCTTCCCCTGTAAGCCAGAATCTTTCTTCAAACCAGTATAACTCAATTCATATTTCCTGTCATCAATTAAGTATTACAATTTTGGTTAAAACTACTCATTTTCTTAAAGAATCTCTTGTTCTTTTTAAAGTACAGTGGATTGAAAAATCTGCAACTAGCATTTTTTAAAAACTTTAGTGGGGATTTAAAATATGTTTTTTAAATTTTTTACTACTTTAATTCATCGTTCTCATCTTTTTATATCTAGTAGTCTTATTTATTATAGGCTTTTAAATTGTTTCTTCAACAATTATCGTCTAACAGGCAACCATCAGATGTCACTCTAAATTATATGTTAACATCACCACACTTGGAAAATCATGCTTTGTGCTTCTGTTTTGAAAAAAATAAAAAGCAAATAAATTATCTGCTCTAGTCTGTTTTGTATTTGTATCCTAGGAACTTACAGCTAAACAATCTAGGCTGGACTTGGTGGCTCCCGACTGTAATCCCAGCACTTTGGGAGGCCTAGGCAGGCAGATCACCTGAAGTCAGGAGTTTGAGACCAGCCTGGCCACATGGGTGAAACCCCAACTCTACTAGAAATACAAAAATTAGCTGGGTGTGGTGACATGCACCTGTAGTCCCAGCTACTCAGGAGGCTGAGGCAGGTTGCTAGAACCCCAGAGGCGAAGGTTGCAGTGAGACTAGATCGCTCCACTGCACTACAGCCTGGGCAACAAGAGCAAAATTTGTTGGGGGGAGGGGGGGGTGGAAATCTGAACAATAAACTTGAGCAGCCACAAAGAGCATCATTTGTTCATACAACAAATGGTCATTAAGCACCCATCATCCTTCATAGCCTGAGTTCCCCAAGGCTGAGAATTGTGGGAAGCAGTAGTTTATGTGATTACATTTCTTAGTTTTGAATTAAATGACTGGTTCAAATTCCATGGTCAGTAATTTGACAATGGGCAAATTATTTCAACTTTTTACCCATTGGAAAATTTACCCATTGGAAAAAATGGGGATAATAGTATCTATTCATAAAATTATTGTGAAGATTCACTGAGATAATCTATCAAAGGTGGTCAGCATAGGACCTGGCACATACCAAGCCCTTTTAAACGTGAGCTGTTACTACTTATCTTTGTTTCCTAATACTTTACATGATGGCTGGATCCAAGTGAAGCTACATAGAGATGGTTTTGCTAGCTGGTTTTGCATTCACATAAGCCACTTTAAGGAAGCAATTTCTTATTTGATACACTGTGCACACTACATTTCCAGGCACCCTGTAGGGTCTAACAGATATTCTTTTAATTGAGTCATTATTTCATTCATACCCATTGTGGGTAACCCTCCATATAGACACTGAGGAAGGAGACCTAAGCAGAACCCTGGCACAGCTAGGGCTTGAAGAATATCTCAGTTTATAGTGTTACTACTCAGCTATTTCCTTTTATATAATCCTTTATATAATCATATATTAGTTTATAGAATTAGGGCTTAAAGTATTCCTTTATATAATCCTCTCTATATAATCATAATAGTTGATAGTATGAGCCCCTAAAGAATATTTCCCTACACATATATATAATTATATCTTAGTTCACAATTGGAGGAATGCCTAGAGTGGACACAGTACAGAGCATGAATTAAGAAATAAGCAGCTTGGCCGGGCGCGGTGGCTCAAGCCTGTAATCCCAGCACTTTGGGAGGCCGAGGCGGGTGGATCACGAGGTCAAGAGATCGAGACCATCCTGGTCAACACGGTGAAACCCCGTCTCTACTAAAAATACAAAACATTAGCTGGGCATGGTGGTGCGTGCCTGTAATCCCAGCTACTCAGGAGGCTGAGGCAGGAGAATTGCCTGAACCCAGGAGGCGGAGGTTGCGGTGAGCCGAGATCGCGCCATTGCACTCCAGCCTGGGTAACATGAGTGAAACTCCGTCTCAAAAAAAAAAAAAAAAAAAAAAAAAAAAAAAAAAAAAAAAAAAAAAAGAAATAAGCAGCTTATAATCGGAGGAATGCCTAAAGCAGACAGTGCAGAGCATGATTTAAGGGAAAAACAGTTATACCAGGACAAGAAACCATGGCCCAGGTGGCAGCGTTCAGCATCATAAAGATACCCACTGTATGGCAGGCTTGGGTTGAGAGCCACTCCTCCTTATAAAGGAGTTATAGGACCTTGCTCCAGGTCTTGTGGAAGGCTGCCCTCAGACCAGCAATCCACCTTGGTGACTGTGAACTTTAACAGCTCTTGCTACTGTGCTGCTCGAAAAGCATCTTCCCATAGAACTCACTGGAAGCAGGTGGCGGCAACACTGACAGCTCTGTCTCTACTGTATGACTTAAAGCATCCCCCCATAAATCTTCTTAAAAGTAGTTTGCCCATAGATAGAAGTATTGCACACTGCACCCTCTTCACGGCGCAGGGCCCACCTTCAAGCCTCGGTGACCTAATGGGGGTGGACCCCTTACTGCACACGGCCCTGGCATTGATGGGAATGGGCCCCTTGCTGCTCACTGTCCACTACCTAGCCTAGGTGACCTAATGGGGGTGGACCCCTTGTTTTATTGCTCACAACCCTATCACTATCCTTAAAGATGATTTCACTCACTGCCTTGCCCCCTAACCTATACACAATAAATATTCATGCTTCTGAACATTCGGGGCCTCACCTGACTCGGCTCATAGGTGGCGTGGCCCGTCGAGCCCAGCTGCAATTTCCTTGTACTTCTGTGTTCTGTCTCTAATTCTCGGATCCTGTGCCTCAGCACAGCATAAGGCACACCCCACGACCCTGTGGGCCATCAGCCCTACACACATCAACATTCTCCTTAATCTTAATAAGATTTTAAATACGAAGTAATGCCAAATTTGTTACACTTCTTCCCTCCTTCTTTTTCTTTCTTTCTTTCTTTCTCTCTTCCTTTTTTTTCCAATCCTCGTTTGGTTGAAACCCCCTTCTTTTCCTGGTTTTCCTTTTCTATGCCTATTCCTATCTCATTTTCACTATATCATACTAACAGCATGGACCACATTCAAGATATTGTTACTTGATGGAGTTTTTAAAAATCAGAAAAATGTATTTTAAGAAAGTCAGAGCTTTAAGTTTTCTAAGAACAGAATGAACATTAGCAATGTTAAATGCCACTAATAAAGAATAATCTCCTGAGTATCTGAAAAAAAGGAGCTATGTATAGTTCACTTACACAGTAGAATTAATGGGGATTTCAGGAAAGGAGTGGTATTTTTATTTTATTATTTTCTCTGAGGCAAGACAAAATAAGGAAGAACAGGCCAATTCCAAATGGAGAGTTGCTATAAACTTGAAAATATGTCACATCCCTATGTCTCAAGGATTTTTCTCCCTTTAGGTCTTCTTAAGTAGAAGACATAAAATAGAATTTATAATTTATCATAAAATACACGTAACCACCAAAGGCTCTTCAATGTATTACGTGCTCAAAAAGGTATTTCTGATTTTCTCCCGAGTTAAATGAGAAATTTAATTATTTTCTCAATAGACATTTGTCTTTGTGGACAATATCATGTTAATGAATGAATTTATTCTACATTAATACAACTAATTTAAAACATAATGTATCCATGGGAATCATTGTGTGGATTAAAAAAAAAAAGTAAATGTAAAATGTGCATGGTGGCAGGCATGTGTGGCCCCTGAGCCTAGGAGTTTGAGGCCAGCCTTGGCAATGTAGCAACACCCCATCATATTTTAAACTTTATTTACTTACTAATTTAAACACAGAACCTTACTCTGTTGCCCAGGCAGGGTGCACTGGTGTGCTCACTGCAACCTGAACCTCCCGGGCCCAAGCGATCCTCCTGTCTCAGCCTCCTGAGAAGCCAGGGCCGCAGGCACATACCACCAAGTCTGGCTATTTATTTTTTATTATGTTTTGTAGAGATGACGTCTCATTACATTGCCCAGGTTGGTCTTGAATTCTTGGACTCAAGTTATCTACCCTCCTTGGTCTCTCAAAGTGTTGAGATTACAAGTGTGAGCCACCACTCCCCACTTCAACTTTTAAACGGCCCCGTCTGTATATTTAGAGATGAAACAATCCTGGAAATTCCCTTGTTCACTTTCTCTCTCAATTTTCCCAGTAAAACTTCTTTGTTTTCTTTTCTTCTTTTTTTTTTTTTTTTGAGATGGAGTCTCACTCCGTCACCCAGGCTGGAGTGCGGTGCAGTGGCACGATCTCGGCTCACTGCAACCTCTGCCTCCAGGGTTCAAGCAATTCTCCTGCCTCAGCCTCCCTAGTAGCTGGGATTACAGGCACACACCACCATGCCCAGCTAATTTTTGTATTTTTAGTAGAGATAGGGTTTCACCATGTTGCCCAGCCTGGTCTCCAACTCTTGGCCTCAAGTGATCTGCCCACTTCAGCCTCCCAAAGTGCTGGATTACAGGCATGAGCCACCACACCTGGCCCTGTTTTTACATATATCTTTAAAAGGTGTTCAATTAGACAATAGTTTTAGCCATGCCAAAATATCAAGACAGGTTATATCAAGAAAATATTAATAGTTAACACACCACACAGTTGACATCTCAAAACAGCTAATATATTTTTAAAAACAGTTAATATATTCTGTATATAGGGAGCAGTATAGTTTAACAGTCTTCCGAGCCAATGCCAAA